TGTTGTTGCCGTTTTTTGAAGCTCGGTTGGGTTGTGGTCCCTTACAGGCATTGAGCTACGTTTATATTTTCGTTTTCAGCAGTAGCCTCGGTGGCTTTCTGCTTTGCTTCCATCTCTCTGATCGAAGCATTCCTTTCTTTTTGACCTTGCTTGCGGATCACCGACAGCTGGTCCCTTGTGCGTTGCACCGTCTTCCCACCAGCCCGAGTCGGCCTAGCCATACAGTTAGGCTCAGTTGCAGCATGTGGCCCGTGGCAATTGATGCACCTTGGTACGGCCTGTTTGCACTCAGTAGCTTTGTGCTCAATTGAGCCACAGCGGGTGCAGCGCTCTGCTCGTGAACAAATTTTAGTTGGGTGATGCCCCCAGCATCGGTTGCATTGCACAATTTTGAGCTTGCGCTGGAGTTCGTGAAGGCGCCCGCTTTCTTCAAACAGTCTTTCTCCAAGTTTCGGTTTTCCTGTTGCGAAGTGCAACACCCAGTCCGTTGATGGCCTGGCCATGCTAGTAGCGAAAGCACGAGCTGAGGTTGGTCTAACTCCTGTTTTGAGAGCTGCTTCTTCTATTACCATCTCTGGTGTCACTATGGTGGGCCCTTCCAGAGTGTAAAGCTTGTCTGGGATATTCGGTGCCAGGACTGATATCCAGTTGGAGGCGGCTTCCAATTTAATTTCTGAGCTATCTAATATGGCTCCTCCTGAGAGAAGTGCGCCTCTTGCTCCTTCTCCTTCGGCTTGTATTGCGAACCCTGAGTTCACGACAGTGACCTGTTTGATTGTCGAGTTGGCCAGACGCAGCTTGCTAGCTAGGCTAATTTTTACGAAGTGGGGTGACATGCGTCTCCACGGGTGGTCAGGTCGGAGGCGCAAGAACACGCGCTCGTCAGGTCGCTGGGGGTTTGTTGCTGGAGCTTTAGGCTTCGGCGCGGAGACGGGCCTCACTGGCACTGTCTTAGGTGTTGAAGTTGGAGCCACTTGGTTTGCTGGCTTGTTTCTTTTTCCCAACACCTCGGTCCAAGATTTCTCTGTAGCGTTGTTGTTGGTTTTGTTTGAGCCCTAGTTGGGCTGGAGAGTTGCGGTTGTGGCTACCGGCCTTTGTGGTGCCGGTCTATTCTTTTCTCTGGCAAGGATCAGCACTGGACGTGTAACGCTTGCAGGACTTTGTTTTGGAGGCTCTGTGACTTGAGCCGGGTTAGATGTGTTAGTATGGCTGCTTGCAGCCTTTGGGGGAGCGTTGGCGTCTGCTTGAGATGGGTTGCCCCATAAAATTTCCAGTATCTTGCCCTGAAGGGCCAGTAAGTCCTGATCAAAGAGTTTTCGAAGTCTCTCGTCAGTGACTGGTTCCAGCAGCTTGCAGAACCCGATGATGAAACGCTCTGCTTGTGCAGAGCGCGTCTGGAATATCCTGCCCTGTTCGGCGAGGAATTCGGTCGCGACAATTTGAGGCGACGGAGTTTGATGATGGGGCGAGCTTCGATGACTCGCCTCGTAGATTGGCTCTACAAATTGTTGGGTGGGTGGTTGTGATGGCGGTTGTGGCCCGATAAGGACCATTTCGACGTCTTGACGCGTCGAACATTGAGTGGGGAGGGGGGGCCAGGGGCCAGCCTCTGCGGAGGACTGGGGCGGCATGGGTGATTGAGAGATGAATTTGTCAGTAAAATGTCGTAGGTGGAATGCGATGTGATGGATTGCGTTTTTTTTTTTGGGGCAGTATGTGGCGGACAGCTGGTCGGACTCTTTTGTAATTTTTAGGTGCTGCAGTGCGCGCTAGAGCGTCGGGTTGTTCTGTAGTGACTGGGCCGTCCAGTACGTGACATTAGTCACGAGCTGTTGACAGGCACGACGTTAAATTCAATCAAATCAAATCAAATCAATACATGAACTATCCCCGAAGTCTCCCCGTCGAGCATGGCCAATCCCAGAGCCAAGTTCAGTCAAATTTCGCAATATCAAAGAAGTTGGCCCACGAGGCTAAATTTAAAATTACTCCACCACGTTGTTTTTCCGCTCCCAACGAGATAGACTTCTACCTAAGTCTCATTAAGTCTACAATGACGACCTAGTACATCGTCATTTCAATGATCACACCTCTTGTCGACTTTCTCTGGCCTCAGTTGACCACCAAACACACGCCCACGCTGATATTAACATCCAACGGAGCAAACAGAGCGTGGCACACAAATCTAGAAGGCTGTTCTTTGGGATGGAAGTGAGAGGGATCAGAACAAGTTTACAAGATGATGCAGAAGATGGATACATTCTCGACGGGCTTGAAATTTCGAATTTTGGCAAAATTTTACGAATTGAGCTTTGTGCTCTCCAAGACTTCGATTACGAGAGTGCAGCTAACACTTTAAAAATAAGCAAACGATGGAAGTTGTTGTGGTCCGCCTCCTGGTGGTGTTCTCCGGTATAGTCTGAGTAGCCTGGGCACCTACTCCACTTGGGAAGGAGACATCTCAGACCATGTTTCGCGCGGAGAAAAGTTGATGGATGACGGAGGCATGTCTGGATAACTCAGGGTTTTTGAGACCTTCCCCTGGGTGGGTATCCACGGATGAGGATTGACTTGGGGTGAAGAAAAAGCCACCATAACTTCGCAGTGGTACTTGCAAATCAAATCTGAGGCATGAGTGCTCTTCCTTTACGTTGAATCATCTATTCTGTACTTTTCTCCGATATTGTGTCATGGCTGGATAGCTGCATACGCAATTAAAATCTGATGCAAAAATAAAAAAAGAGCATGGCCAATAATTGGTAAGAGGGTTTCAACTCTCTTCCGCCAGTGCGAGAAGCTAGGAATATACCCAATAGCCTTCGAGAAGTCTACAGTGATTATTCTTCCGAAATCAGGAAACCGAGATCTCACCTTCCCGAAGTCCTATAGACCAACCTCCCTCCTTTCATGCCTAGGTAAAGGCTTTGAGCTACTGATAGCTCGGCGACTTTCATTTGTAGCTCTGAAATATCGGGTACTAGCTGAAGACCAATGCAGTGCCATCCCTCTTCGCTCTGCTTCTAACCTTACCACAGCTCTCGCGTGTGATATTCAGGAAAAATGGGCGGAAAAGAAAGTAGCTGGTATAGTGACTGTCGATGTCCAAGGGGCGTTTGATGGTATCCAAAAAGGACGGCTCTGCTACAGACTTAGAAACCAAGGATGGAAATCAAACGTGGTTCGCTGGATAGCATCATTCATGGAGCAGCAAGAATCTATCATCTCTATTGAAGATTCTACCTCCCCGCTCTTCCAAACTCACTGTGGTCTCCCACAGGGCTCACCAGTATCGCCAATTCTATTTCTCCTGGCTATGGAAGAGGCACTACGTCTTTCCACTGGCCGCTTTGGCTATGCAGATGACATTGCCCTTTTCGCGTCTGCGTCCTCCTTAGACGAATGTGCACGTTAACTCCGGGAGAAACTAGATAGCACTATAGTATGGGGTCTGACTAACGGAATCAGTTTTCAACTTTCTAAGACTGAACCGCAATACTTTCACTGGAAGCGAAGATCACCACTAGAGCCTGCTCTTAGTATCGGAGGGACAACTATAACACCAATTGATCACACCCGCTGGCTTGGAATCTTTTCCGACCGTTCTCTTCGGTTCCAATATCATACTATACAGGCTTGCCGAAAGTCTCTAGCTATCACGAGCCATATGAAAAGACTCTGCACATCACTCTATGTCTCCATTTCCAACAATTTTCCCAATGGTGGGTATGCACGGAAGAGGTTATACGCCGTAAGGATTAACCTCGAGTGGTATCTTCAAATGAAATCTGAGTGTGAGTGTTGTAAACGTCAAATTGAGTCATCCTACTTCAAGTAAATATCTTCCTATAAAAACCTGCATGGGCCTCAAGGCGCCAAATCAGGATAATGAATAATTATTATTATTGTGGTTGGCGGCCGAAACTTGCAGAGCAGCCAAATTTTACCAAAGTAGAGAGTCTGGACGGCAAAACCTGAGTTTTCAAGGCTCACCATTCTTCCTACATCGTAACGTGACAAGGGCCCAAATCAGTTTGGCAATGCAAATACGAAGTAAGCACATGGGGCTTAACTCGTATTTACACAGAAGAAAAGTACCCGAAGTATCAAGTTCCGGTTGTCCATGTGGCTGCCAATCACAGAACCCCAAGCATATGATGATGTCCTGCTCTTGATGGTCAAATGGTAGAGCTGAGATCTGGAGACAAGCCAAAGATCGGTCCTACGAAGCGATGAAAACAATCCTGGAGACACGAAAAGGATAACACAGTGGATCCTAAACCATGGTTGGATAGAGCAATTCCAGATGAAAAAGGCGGTCGAAGTGCTGCTGAAGGAAAGGAAAAGGTCAAATAATGCTTGGGGCGAATAGAGATGATCTGGTTGGTTTACATGAATGGCACTATAGTGTAACTGCGCTTCCTGAAGAAAATATGTGAGAACTGTAGACAACAAGTAGAAAGGTGTGGGAGGTTTACACCATGAAGGTTTCCTCCCGGGTAAATATTATAGATTATAGACACCTGCATGGGCCCATAGGGCGCCAAATCAGGATAATGAAATCAAATTCGAATTTTGGCGAGCGGGGTAATGAGGAGAGATAGTCTAACCTATTACGAGCTAGCCTATCTGCGCCCGCGGGGCTAGTTCCTTAAATAGCCCGGTTTTCAATTTAACGTTTTCTATCATAGAGGCACTGTAACAGCAGTAATCAACGCTAGCATAGGGTATAAGCAATCTCCGTTCGCTAAACACCAGTCGGTAGGGACTAGTTATTATCGAGCCTAGTAGGATCGACAAAGTATATCCCAACAAAAAAAAAAACTCATCAACCAAATCCTTCATCAATTATTTCCATTAAGCATCACCTGACTTATACCTGTACACCATATTTTCAACAGATACGAACAATCTATAAGTAGCAGACGCTTAAACCGGTTTCGAGTCTTCACTAAATTAAATTTAATCAAACTCAAACTTGAGACTACTTAAAGCGGTGTAAGATGTCACTTACGGACAAATCTCCAGAAGTTTGTGCAAACTCTGCAAAATTAGCCTCCCATGTACTTGCTACGCTATCTACCAGCGTTCGAAATGACGCTCTATTAGCTATCCATACTGCCCTCTCAAATGCCAAAGAGTCAATACTGGCTGCTAATGCTATTGATCTCCAAATTGCTCAGGAATCCGTACGATCTGGCGAACTCAGTCCAAGCATTGCGTCAAGATTAGACCTGGGGAGGCAAGGAAAGTGGGATGATATGCTGCAAGGAATCTTAGATGTTCAAGAGCTTGAGGATCCAGGTAGGTTTGATAGAAGTAAATCTCACAAGTTTACTAAGAAGTATCAGTTGGTAAGATCACATTGCGAACAAGACTTGATGATGGACTTGAATTGGAACGCATATCCTGTCCAATCGGTGTCTTGCTTATAATTTTTGAGGCTCGTCCTGAAGTAATCGCCAATATTGCCTCACTAGCTATTAAGTCAGGGAATGCAGCTATTCTTAAAGGTACGACAACCGGACTTCCCAATGCTCACCAACATCAAACTTACGGAATTTAGGTGGAAAGGAATCATCTCAATCATTCATTGCAATTTCACAAGCAATTTCTACTGCACTAGAGTCTACTCTGGTGCCAAACTCCGCCATACAACTTATTACTACCAGAGATGCCATACCAAAGCTTCTAGATCTCGACAATTTTATCGACATGGTTATTCCAAGAGGCTCAAGGGAACTCGTCAACTACATCAAATCTTCTACCAAAATTCCCGTCCTTGGACATGCCGATGGAATTTGCTCTATCTTCTTAGAGCATTCGGCAGATCCAGAAATGGCCGCCAGGGTACTCGTGGATTCAAAGACCTCCTACCCTGTTGCCTGCAACAGCGTTGAAATATTACTGGTAGAGGAAGCTGCTCTGACAACTCTTCTACCCGTAGTTGCTACAGCTTTGCTGGAGAAAGGGGTGGAGTTGCGGTGCGACCAGCTCAGCAAGGAAACTCTAATAACCAGAGTTCCTGCTGAACTTGTAACAAAAGTTTATGATGCTACAGATGCCGATTTCTCTACTGAATTTCTCTCTCTCGTGCTCGCCGTTAAGGTTGTGCCTTCAATCGTTGATGCAATCTCTCACGTCAACATTTTTGGCTCTCATCACACCGATTGCATTTTGACATCTTCTGCATCTCTTGCTGAGCAGTTCATGTCCGCTGTCGACTCTGCCGGAGTCTACTGGAATACTTCTACTCGCATGGCAGACGGCATGCGATACGGTTTTGGAACTGAAGTAGGTGTCAGCACTAATAAATTCCATGCTCGAGGCCCAGTTAACTTGGAGGGATTAATGATTTACAAGTATAAACTGCGTGGACGTGGGCAGGTCACCTTAGATTACGGGAATGGACAGGGCCAGAAAAGTTTCGTGCATGAGAGGCTCGTTTAGAGAGAAAGAGAGAGAGAGAGATGTATATCTAATGTAATATTTTAGACATAGACTATCTAGCACATTAAGCTCCTCTCTGGCCCAGGCCACACCTTGTACAGTGCTCCTTTCCCCTTTTATTGCTTCAAAGGTTATTGATATATTCCCCTTGATGAATAGCCATTCAGCTCAGTATTTACCCGTGGAATTCGGCCACCTTTTCCACGGAGCCTTCTACCCAAAAAAAAAAGGTAGCAAAGTAAACTACGTGCGCGAGATAACGGCTCCTCCATGTGTATCAATGTAAAGGTTGTTAGAGGCATACAGCTGAGAAACGGCCTTGACAAAGTAAATTAGCTAGCACAATATCTAAAGAAGTTGTACTCCTGGCCTATTGGATGAAAGGACTCATAGTTCTTTTTAAAGTCATAGAGTTAGTATGAAAACAAACTTACAAACCTTTTTAAGAGATCAAAGCTTTGACCAGTGCCAATCAGTGTTACAGGCCACGCTTCGGGCGACACAACAAACATCGCCATGGCGGGATAGCGCAGTGGTACATCATCGGGGCCGGTCTAGCAAATAAGGTCTAAATGTGTGACGAAACCAAGCTGGTTGTAGTGTACTTTTAGAAAGATTAAACTATATGAAGAGAGAAGTATCACAACTACGGGCAATGACTATTTGTACATCCTTCTAGCTCATCCAATACGTACTCTGTTGGTGAGAATGATATATTGCTTCGCCACTGCCCGTCGTCATCTTTGCCATCTAGCTGACTCTCTCACTTGGCAACTCTACTTCGCCGTCTCACATTCCTTCCTAGCTTTAATGTAATGTGGCCAAGTGAAACTAAGTCGCTTGATACAAGATAATGTGTAACACTCTCCCGAATACGCCCCCAAACTCCGCTTAGGTCTCCGCCTAAGCTAAACCACGGTCAAACCGTAACAAAATGGCTTTGACATTTATCCCACTCGAGACAAAAGACCGCTGGATGTAGGACTTTGGCCCTATACGAAATTAATACATACAGAAGATAGTTGGTTAGGATCCAGTAAATACAACCACATTCCCAAACCCCCCACTTCTCCAAAGGGCTTGTCCCTCAATATCTATAAGAACAAATTTTGGCATATTTCAAAATTAAATTTCTCAAATGTAATTAGAATCTTCAGTTAGATTCACAAAGTCCCCCATAGTCTTAGACTCAGTAGGGACTATGATAAAAATCTAATCTAATCTAACCACATTCCTAGGGGGACTTATCTGAACACCTGTCAGTGGTGTCCCCTTCGAACCTCCAGCTCTCACTGTAGAGTCTGCAGAGCCGAGATTGAGTAACGAAGTTCTCACTCCGACGAGGATTCCCAATCGCTCTCGCGGTCTGTATCTTCTTCATCTCTCAGCCTATCCCCCTATCACCATTATCATGAAGCTAACCACGATCAGATCAGATGGTTGGGTCGAAGCCCTTCTCATCAAAAATCTTTAGTCATGGAGAAGATGCCATCAGATGAGTTTCTGGAGCGTACCTAGCACCCGATGCGGAGATGGTAGTTTGGATCAATTTGGCTTCGACTGTTACAAAGAAGGGAGATATAGATGAATATTCGCACCTCATGTGGTCCTGACGTCTAGGCCTCGCCTGGCTGTGCCTGCAGGCTTTTTGGGACTTTTTCACGCGCACGCAGTTTGCATTGCTACCATTTTTATTTTATTTTTCTTTCTGGGTAGAAAGTTCTGCTGAAAAGCTGGCTGAATTCCATGGGTAAATCCTGAGCTGAATGGCTATTCATCACGGGTAATAGATCATTGATCTTTCAAAGAACATAAGAGGCAAGGAGCATGTATGGCCTGGCTCAGAGAAGATCCCAATGTGCTCGATAGTCATAGACTCAAGTATTACAATAAACATACATCACTCTCAACACCAACCGTGTGCATGATGTTCTCCGGGTAGCTGCCGTCCGACCGCCCTTACTAGTCTCCCACTGCAGATAAAATTTCTTATTAGCCCACGTTTTAAATGCCGCCTTCATGTACGAGAAGTAATTTATCATATTTCACATGGTTCCCATCTCGTTGGATATATCTTCTGCCTCGTTTCGAATGATCTCCATAGCCATCAATCTTTCTATGCTACTTGACCTCCGATCGTTCAGTGGACGAGTACGTTGCCAAAATTCCTCAGCACGGTCTACCATGTTAGAGTCGTAAGAGAGATGTTATTCACAAACTATCTAGATCTAGAGCGAGGGACTGAGGATGGAGTATCACGCCCGAATTCTTCCCCTAAAGGGGCTGCGAATATTTGCTCATTTGAAAATAGACACTGGGTTACAACGGTTGCTATGGGTTACAAACGGAGTTATAGTACAGTAAAAGGCATATCCTTCGAGGCCCAAGATAGCCTGGCTACTTTAAGGTAAATATGGAATGGACAGAGCTGATGTAGAGGGCCACGTCTTGTCTTTCTTCTATTGAAGGGTGGTGATGTATATGGTGGTATACACTTGGTATCTTCAATTAAATGGTTGTGACTACTCAGGGGGCTTAGAATATATTTGGGTGATTATGGCAATAAATTTTACGGGATGCGAATGGTATCTTACTGTGTTATTATATTATGTTATGTTACAGGTTATCTACACGATAATTAACCAATGCCACATACTTCCAGATAGCGCCGTAGCTAGTCTCTTTTAGGGATGATCTACGGGTGAGTGTAGCAATCGGTGGTATCTAATTTATCACTAACCTGTTTCCATATCCTTGGCTCTGCATGCTAGACTACGTGGATGACGATTTACTACTAATGTGAAAAGCGCATTCATGACATCTTCATCCATAGACCTTGTATCCTGTCCTAGTTTCCATTGTCTCTTGCCCTTAGTTGTAGCTAGAATTACGAACTGAGACCTTTTCCTCTTGTCGACCATGTCTGAGGTAACTGACACTTCTCAGTAATCCTCCTAAACGCTACCTTTGGCACCCTCGAGCTTTACACCACCGATTCCTCGCATCTTTGATTATCAAACCAGGGGAGGGCTGCGAAGGTGTATGTGGGTCTATCCCTTGTATATGAGAGATAGGCCTATGCCTAAGTTTTGATAAGCTCTAGCCTATGATACAGAATCCTTAAACAGGCTTTTCTCTTAGGTTTGCACCCTATAGGAGCAAGTAGACGCGCAAGTATAATTCGAGCGGTTCTACCGCAGCTTCTATTTCATGTAATATTTTAGGAGTGCGTTTATAAACAATAATTATCTATCGGTGACATTTGTTCTGTATTTTATCAAATTTTCCTATGAGGCTTTTTACTGAAGGTCTCGTCGTCCCGCAGTCCCCAAATCTGTGACGCATATAGAATCTTAGGCCGTCTCACCGCTGAATGGACTGGCTCTGAATGGTGCACTTAGGGACCCAGATCGAAGAGGTTATTCGTGATAAAGCGTTGAAAGCAGCCTCTTAGGCTCGTGCTGTCTGTGCAACCGGTACAGCCCAGCAAATATGAAAATCTACCAGTAGCCCTAGATTTGTTTTTCGGATTTTGACTTAATTTGGAAGTTTCCCGCGTCTAAGCCTTCCTGGAACTCATTGGATTTAACCATTTTCCTATAATCATTGGTTGGGTGTCAGTTTATTGTGCTACTTGAGTCTATGGCTATTTAGCACACTGAACTCCTCTCTGGCCCAGGACACACCTTATACAATGCTCCTATCCTCTCTTGTTACATGAAAGATCTTTGATATACTGCCCATGGTGGATAGTCGTTCAACTCAGTACTTGTCCGTGGAATTCATCCACCTTTTCTACGGAACCTTCTATCCAAAAAAATTGTGGATATTGGTAAGAGGGAGTACAAAAAGAAAATCTACAGTAGCCCGCACTTCATAACAGATATCACGTTGCTGTGTTACCAACAAAAAATTCAATAGCCTTACAGGACGTTAACATCAAGTACTATTTCAGGACTTTTCGGTGCCATAAAAAGTACGTATTCATGGCATTTTATCAAAGCGAGTACTACATTAAAGACCTGTCCACAGATTATATCTCTCACTTCGTCTCTCTCGGCTTGAGCTTTGATCCTCCATTTAATTCCGTCTCTCTGAATCTTTTTTTTTCCTGGCTGCTTAGTCTTATTTCTCTTTTACGATACAGCTCTCTATAGCGAATGGCATATGATATCAGAAACCTAGGGCTAAGAGGGGAGTCTCTTAAGAATCGATGGAAGGTTTACATATTGTCAATTTGTCTTAAAACATTTTGAAATGTATAAATGCTAGAAGCGTAAAGTCTTACAGGGTTAGGCTTTGAGATGAACTTGTCGGAATGATTCATCTAGCCGGAGTTACTTGGAGTCGGTGATTGCATCGTATTGGCTAGTTCTCTTGATTTGTGGATTCTGACATTGGATAAAACATGATCCAAATGTAGGCTAGATAGCAATTCCATAGCATCAACTCGGAAGAACACGAATGAGCCATGAACGCGCATTTCTTCTGAACAATAGTTCGAAATACTTACACAAGTACTCTCATAACTTTAAGTGAAATAATAGACTTTTTGTGTATGACCTTTGTCATACCAACAGAACTGATCTAAATCTTTTTCAAATAAGATCTTGCAAAAATCTCTTTCCAAATCTTTGACTGCGTCAAAACTTCGCGACTTAATCCAAGATTTTTGGGTAGAATCTCACAGTAATATCTATTCTTTTCTCAAGACAGCTCCTTGAATGATCATTCATGTACCAGCCGTTAGAGTTCGCCAGCTCTACACTCGGATGACCATAGCGCAGTCATATCACAAGAAAAATGGTAAAAAACGACACGAGATCGTTTCGATAGGATTTTGTTATACTATATTTTTTTATGCTCATGCCCTCAATAACTCGGTTGCCATATACATGAAGGTACCAGTTATTTTCATTTCTTCCTCATCATCTGTCTTGACACTGACCTAAGTAGAAACGTCTAGATCGATGAAAATACTCTCCGATTTGTCCTCTTGG